ATTAATAATCTATTAATTTCCGCGTATTTTTTATTGTATATTTCATGATATCCCCAGATGAATTAATTGTGACCGACATCATTAATCCTGAAGAGCTCAACCTTATTCATAACCTTAACAAAAGCATAATTTCCCCGGGGAAATAGAATTAGTCAAGTATAAACAAATTAAGAAAAATACTTAATTTTGGCAGACATAAAGTCCAATGACAGCTCTAAAGAAGACAAACATGGAAGGAGAGGTTCAATATATTTAAATAAAATTGTCTATAAATTGATTTATTTTAAACCCTTGTTTGTCATTCTTTACTTTACATTCTTTCCAATTATTCTTTTTACAGTACTCATTTTTAACCATACATTTTTTATTAAAATAATATTATACGCAAATAAAAAACAATTCCTTCTTTTAAACCACACATTCTTCATCAATCACTACTATTTCATAATACATTTTTTCAAATTAATGGAGCTCAAACAGGGTCTAAATAATAAGATCTACAGATTGAGATGAAATAAGTGTGTGTCAAAATAAATGTTGCATTAGGTCAGGAAGATCTCAAGCAGGATCTCTGCTCATAAAGATGCATACGAAATATTTCAAACATTTATTTTGGCAAATCCTCCTCACCTAGTATACACTTTTATCATCCTGTCTCATTATTTGAGTCCACAATTAGAGTATATTTGACTAATTTGAAAAAGTTTACTTATAAATAAGTCACTCATATTGGACAGTAGGATAAGAGTTATTTTTAAAATAGTAACTATTGCAGTCCAAGAATTAGTAGGAGTTCTAAGGAGTTAAAACAAGGTTCTGGCCAAGTCACTTGCTTGACAGTACAATGTACAATGAAGATGAATTAAACTCCACTCTCAATAAATTAAGGCTGGAACTTGAATGATTTTTCTAATATGCTAGAATTATAATTAGAGGCTTTAAAATAGATTACAAACAACTAAAAGAGATCATGTTACTTAGTATGACATATCAGTCCATCTTTAACTTCTTCTACTGATATGGCTTTAACACTTTTGAAGGAGAGTCTATTTATGTCTATTGGAAACATTTCCAAATCATCGTGTCCTTCCTTTAATTTATCTTCACTTCATGCCGCATTTGCTTGAGTACCAATGTATAAGAAAGGAACATTGCAAAGCTTTATTATAAATAAGAATGGAAAATATGCCACAAGATTGCCTGTTCTATTTAAGGCATTTGCATTTTTCTTTGTTTCTGCACTGGATAAATTGAAGTATATAAAAGCAACATCGGGGATCCTTGAGAAAAAATATATATAAAGCGGCCCGAGAAAACTTGGTGCTTATTTCTTGACATTAAAAACAATACAAGTTTGAACATTGAAATTTAGCATCCATTTTGGTTGTTTCCCACTACATGACGGCTACAGAGAGAGAGGGAGAGAGAGAGAGAGGAGCAGGAATAAAATCCCTTTTGAGATTCAATTCCCTTTGTTTTGAAAACCTCACTTTTTGTTGGACTTATATCAAATGCTCTTGCCTTCAGAAAATCTGTTAAGGTATCAAGGAAAAAAAAATGTAAGAATAATTCACATTCGGAGGTAAAAAGTTAAGCCCTTTTCATCAAGTATGAAATAAGTACTCAACTGATTTTGCTGCTGTTGAGTTCCATATAGTGAAGACCGGAAGAAACCATAATGTTCCTCATATGCAGATCCCCCCTTCCCTGCAAAAAATTGATTGGCGATTAGCTAATGTTTTTAACTATAATTTATGTACAAAAAAAAAATGTACTTTTGAAGTATAAGTAGCTCAAACCGAGTTGTGGACTGGCCTTTTGAGTATTCCAATACATTTTCCACAGAAACTTGGCCATTTGGTAGTAAGAAATTCTTCTGTACAAGAATCAAGATTAGGCATATCAGGGATGTTTCCTTTGTAATTCAGAGAGAAAACTCCGAACAATATCTAATGTACTTACCCTGGAGAAGTATAAGATAGGCGAGCTAGCAGTATCATCGAGTAAAGAAGGTTGTTCTTGAACCTTTTCGATGTGAATTTTCCTTAACATTCTTCATATAAGACCTATTAATCTTGGACTGTTGGGAATTTACTTAAACATGCACAGCGGAAATAAAAACAATTTCAATTCCTAGCAAAATTCATCTTTGTATTTAAACAAGAACTGTGATGAAAATTATACATTTTCTTGAATTTGCCAACTCCTTTTCGTTATCTTTGTTCCAGCAGCTTAGATCTGCCTCCCACAGCTATCCAATTGTCCAGCCTCCAATGAATTCCATACAGCAAACAGATTGCAGCCAACAGGGTTTCCTCGTCTTGTGCTAGCAAGAATTATGAAAACTATATGGATCTAAAAGCCTAGTAATGTATTTATATAAGTCCAAACGGGCTCGGCCTGGTCCGGTCCAATATTTAATTAATTCATTTAATTAAATTCGGTCCGTGAATTAATTAATCCAATTAATTAATTCGGGGCTGTAAATAATCAATCCAATTAATTAATTTATCCAACGATTATTAAATTAATTAATTGACAAATTGCAATCTTCCAATTCCCTTTTGTGTGCGACCCATCAGGTTCCCGACCACGATATCTAACGACGTGAAATATTATTTTGATCTAATCAAAACTGATAAATTAAAACACCCTTTTAATTTATCACAAATTCACACTCGCCGTCCGAGATTGACATCTAGCAATGTATTAGGGAAACACATGTAACGGAAAATGTCACGTGGTATGACAAAACCAAACATGTTCGTTTACCATGAAACTATAATCCTTTCGTCAATATAATCCAATCAATTACGAGATATGGAAGTGTATCAATCTCGATTATTGATCATATCTTTCATTCTACTATTAGGTCAATATGAGTCGAAAACTCCTGTACGACTTATCTGTAAACCTTGGCCAAAGATTTCGTTATTGACTTAATTGAACGAAATGTAGATCACGATCTTTTACTATCTAAGATTGACGAATCCTCTATTGGTCATTCACAACCTTCATATGGTTCTTGACATACCCGAACGATGCCGTATTAGCGGTTCTTGATAGAGCAACATCCAACACCGTCAAAGCATGACTGTCCTTGTACAAGGCCCTATGATAACCTTAATTCAAATGACCAATTCCACTACTGAATGTTAGAGATTAACCACTGACACTCAGATAGTTATCCATGTGGAATCTCTTAGCGGGTCTCCAATATTTTGTTCTATAACAAAACATTCACGTGTTCATTTAAGTGTAACTACACTTTAGCTTGTAAGATTAGCTACTTACTTCACAAGTAAAAAATGTCACACGTGATGATCGATCTGTAATAACGATATCCGTATCTCGTTATTACTTACAACCACGAATAATTCAAGATACAATCATACGTAATTTGTATCTCACGATCACAACTCCTTGTGATTAACAAATCACTTAAACTTGAATTTTCGGACTCTATTATTTAATATTATTTATCAGAAAATTAATTTAAATAAATAATGGATCTTGCCAAAATTAAATGCATAAAACATATTAAAAGTGTTTACAATCTAAATCGATTGAATCTAGGGTATAACACTTACATGGACAATGTGGCATCAATCAATGCACTAAAAAACTCATCTTCTTCGTGCAAATGTGGAGGTCTGGACGACGCATCAGAAATCATAGACAAGTCTTCATTCTCCTCATCGTCGTCTTCAACTTTAACCCTCTTGGCAATGCTATATGGGGAGAAAGAAGAAGAAGAATGTTCTTAAGTATAAAGTCCATCCAGATTCACATCCACTGCTGCATTCTGAATTGGCAAACACATAATTCATTTTCTTTATTACCAAGAAAATAGAAGATTTATTATTATTATTATTATTGTCAAAGTGTGTACTTTGTACCGAGGATAAAAGGGGTTGAGATGGGGGATAAGACAAAAAGAGAATCAGACTGAAATCCTAGGAGCGTTTTGTCCTGATGTTACATTAATCGTATGATGACGAGAAGCATGTTATGGATTTCATAGATTCTAGTACTTTATTTTAGTCGTGCATTGGAGTTAAAGTCCATTGTCTTAGTCCGTCCTTGTATTTGTGTTTCTTTTCATTTAACTGATTGAAGCTTACGACGCGGGGGTGTTTGTAGGGATCGGTAGCTCTAGAGGTGATTTTTTTTTTAATTACGAGAGTATATTGCCATAGATACATGTATCAATTCGTTTTAACATTTTTACGGTAGAAATGATTTTTTTGAAGCCATCTTTTGTATGAGAAGTGCTTGTTGTATAAATTTTAACGAAGAGCAGTAGCGTGTCCCAAGAGGTGTGTATAATAAGTAATTAGTAGTTATGAACGCACGATTAAAATTAAAATTTGATTTTGGCTTCAATTCTGAAAAAAAAAATTATAATTTTAGACAAACTAGAAATGTACAAAGAAAAATTGTATTCTTCTTCTCTGTTATAGTGAAAAAAAAATCATCGGGGTACACTATTATAAATATGTAATAGATTGGCTTGTTTTCTAATTATTTAACCTTAACTCTCTTAAAATGAAAAATAGAAATTCATGATTTCCACCTGAAACAATTTAAAAACGAAGAGTGGTCTTTACTATTTCTACATATTCACGGTTCAACATTCTTGATATTTCATGTCAAGTTTAAAAAAAATTAAATCGGTACATTAGTTAAAAATATTATTAATTTAAATAAGGAGAGGATCGAGATAATTAGAATGCATATTGACCTCATTTTCTGTTAGGGTGACGCGAACAACAGATATTGAGTCCATTCTGCACACATAAGCAAATTTCAACACGTTAGGACAAGTTGGTAGTTGGCAATATTTCGGATTTATACGTGAGACAAGCTTTAACACGAGGTAAATGTGTTTGGGTTCCGACAATAGGGAATGATTGTATAATAATAACCAATCGCACACAACTCAAAGAAAGCAAAGTAATCTAAACTCTAGCAAAGCAAAATGTATAATTTGCCAGAGAGAAGATAAAGAGTCGCTTTAAGTATTTTAGAGTTGCATTAGTCTTCAAATTATACAAGGAGGGGGGATTTATAATGCTACATTGGATGAAGATACATGTAGGCTCATCTCCTTAATCGAAACATCCAATCCTAGACATTTATTTGAACTTCATAACCTGTGGCGCATTTAATATTCTGGCAGGAGGAAGCCACCTCAACCTAAACTAAAAAATCTTGACATTCCACTCATTAGAAATGTTCCATCAATCTTTCGAAAGAGATCTCATTCATAATTTCAAGATCTTCACGTGTAGGTTGTTACTTGTTGTGGCTGAGTTTCGATTTTGACTTTTGTCGAGTTTCATCGCTTCGCTAGGTAGATGTGCTTGAGCCTCGCATGTAGCATATAGCTTTGGGGCTTCGTCTTTAGGATGGGACCGCTTCAGATCTACAGACTCCAATGTTCAACGCGGCTTCATCGCAAGAGTTTCAGTGGGTTGTTCAGGTGGAGCCTTAGTAGCGAGGCGTAACACGTATAGTCAGTCAAATAACAAGTAGATCCCTTTGACTGCCACGTGTTCAAAGAATTTGGATATTTTAGACTGAAAATGAAACAAAGTGTATAGTCAATATAAATGCAAGCGATACTTAACTGAAAATAAAAACAAAAATTGCATAATCTTTTACTCTAAACAGTTTGCAGAATGCCTAAGATAGCATATTATGTACTTTGTTTCTTAATACAATATTAAAATGGATATACACATTATTATTTTTTTTTTATTACAATCGATTGACTAAATTTACTGGAAGATGTAAATCAAGTAGATTGAACACCCCAATCATAATTCAAGTTCAGTGCAGAGGCATAGTATATACTGGGCTATGTCTATATCCACGAGTAAAGAGATTTGGTCATACAAGCTCATATCTAATCTTGGGATTCATTTAATTGTTGCAACATCTTTTCATTGTCACGACTCTCTATAAAGGCCCTCAGTCACCTAATCGACCTTGTTTATTTGGAAGGACAGAACCCTGACCAGCCTTTGAATTCTACCCCAACTAGCACAAAGATCACTTTCCAGCCACCAATGAAGGGCACTAACTGATTAACTGAGTGAAATGGAGAAATTTATTAATCTATTCTTTCATGCTAACTAGTTGTTAGCACCAAACCTCTAAAAGGTACTTAAGCCTTCATGTAAACTTTGTTTTTTTTTTTTTTTCTTTTTACCGGCGAATTCAAGATCGGAGGTCAGCTAAGGCGGTTGATCGTTGACTGGTAACAATCAACGATCGTAGTAACTATGTCATTTATTAATATTTCATAAATAATATTAAAAATTCTTCAACAAATATGTAAATGCACTAACACGAAAATTTTATACATATAAAAATATAGTTTAATACACATGGTTCAATTGAACCCATCATCTTCTCCATTAATTTTTTTCATATACTCCTAATTTCCTAAACCTAAATTTCCAAATCAAATTCAAAACTTTTAAATGATAAATTATAACTCATAACTCATACAACATAAATTATTTTTCATAAATCACAAATTCACAATTCTCATTTCTTTGTCATAGAACGAAAATTAAAAAAGCAAGAAAACAAAAAACAAAAACGAGAACGATAGAATGAAAAATGTGCTCACCACAATTCACAAAGTCACAGCCAGTAGCTACAAGAGGTCCATCCAAGAGTTCGAGTCTGTAGCGGACGACCAGCTTCGCAAATCGAGCTAGGAAAGGTGGAGAAATGGAGAATGACAGGTAGCGGGGCGTCTTGCTTCTCCTTGTCTGCACTGCTTCGATTCGTTTGGTAATTGCCTAATTGGTCATTTGATACACTGGTGGGAGGAAATACATATATATCATAGACCATGGATTAGATTTGGAGCCATTGGGCCTATTTTTTATTGAAAAAAAAAAAAGGAAAATATTATGCCCAATTCTTCCACAGACCACTGTTCCAACTTCTTCGATTTTCCCTTTCTTCCACAGACCACTGTTCCAACTTCCACCGCTCCGCTCAGCAACTGGTCCTCGGCGTACTAAAAGGTCCGGTGGAGTCCAGCACGCGCGGATGCTGGCTCCGCTACATATGTCCTTTTCTTTTACTTCCTTTGTGTTTTGGGATTTAGATAAAATTTTATGTTAGCGATCAATCTATTGCAACCTTCTTTTATCCTAGCTTTGATGCGACTATAACAAATATAAGCCACGTTTTTCTTAATTGGGCTCTATCCTTGTGGCCATACTTATTTTTCGCGCACCGAAAAATCCTTCTCTATAAAAGTTTTTAATTGAGGTTTTTCAATTCTGATATGTGAAAATCAAAAGTACGACTACGAAGTGTGAAGTGACAATGTACTAAAGAAACTACCTTCTCTTTGTATAATCGAGAAAGTTTTTACTATTATGTACGTTACTGTCTAATACTACATATCAGGCTTCGTTCTTGAATTTTTTTAATCTATGAAAACAAAGATATGTATTACTGGCAGACTGAGAGATCACTGTGGAGAGGCTTATGCAGTTGACTGTAATTTTTATGAATTCACATGCCCTCACTTTCCACTCTAAAATACACGCACTCACACACACACACACACATGTATGCACGTGTGCATATGGCACTTGGAGCCTCCCACAGATTTATACACATGTATCAACGTGCGCACACAATTCGATCTAAAATTCTTTTCTTAGTCCCTGGTGTTTCTTGGAATTAAGTTTATTAATTCCATTTGTTCAGAAGCTATGGTTCATTCTTATCTCCCATGAAATTAATTAATATAATTATTTCACAATTAATATTGATTATAGCTTCGTCATCCAAAATTGTTTAGCTTGTACGGATATAAGTGAATATGTATTATAAAATTAATGATGTTTCTTAATTATTGAAGACAATAGTGATGCATTACCAACCCTAAAAATATTATTGGTGTATGTATTGGGAAGTTCTTTGAGCGTATTTAACATATACTACTAGACATTACCGTGAATAACGAGTGAAGTTAATTTTTGTCTTCAACCCCATGTTTGATGCAATTTTTTTTAAAATTTAATTTTCAACATACATTTCCTATATAAAATAGTTTTGCACGTAGACTTACAACTTATTCCTACTTTTTAACTACATATTTTTCAAAATAATAACTTTTTCACAAAATATATTATATTTATCATTGAATGTAATAAATGAAGAAAAGTGAATCGATAAGCGTTAACTTCTTGTTCGTTGTTATAAGAGTGGATGACATATATATCGACAATTAAATTGGAGGTTTCATCGTTCCTAACTACGTAACTTTGTTCTCCATTCTAATATATGGTTCCTCAAACTTTCAGTTTTGGCGCACATTTTTAGTCGCACCAACTCAACTCCCCTAAACTTGGCAAAATTAGGAAAAAAAATCACATTTGAAACTTTATATTTGAAAATCTCAAATAATATACTCATTTCAAGTATCCGTCCACAAATTGTTGTATTCGGGAGACCTTTATGTCAAGAAAAATTGATTTCGTGCCTAAATAATATACGTCGAAAAGTTGGAAAATCCAACTCTAACTTTTCCTATATAATAACATTGGTTGGAGTAAACAATAAGTGGATGGATACTTGCAATGAGCATTTTAAAGAATCATGTGGGTTAAGTGCATCAAGATTCACTAAACAAAACCATTTGCAATTCTCAATGAATTCATAGAGAAAACAAGAGAGTTTCAGACACATGAAGATTTTTAGATAGAAGTGCAAACTCACATTGATCAAAGCATTGTGCCTCTGGCAAGAAATAATGTTGATTACTATGTTAATTAATTTATATTATTTAGCATAATAATATTTATTATCTTTTATTAATTGACTTGCCAGTACACAGAAATGGCCACCATAAGAAGATGATGCTTTGTTTTTGTTTTCTTCATCTCAATCAAAGACTAAAAACTAAAAAGTACCTATCATGTGCCCATTCTCTTGAAATGCACGTCCTTAATCACCAAGTGATTAATCTAAATTTAACTCAAATAATTATTTTCCAAAATAATTTGTTGATATGCAAATCTATTAGGATTAAGTTTGGTTTTAATCCAACACAATTTGATGTGAAAGCCGATAGTGACTACTCACCTTGGAGTTGATAGATACATGTTAAGCTTGTATCACGTATTCATATATTATATAGTAACGATCCAGATCCACCAATTTGATCACACGAATGTGGTACGTGGTAGGCGCAACTCTAGAACAATGGCATTAGATTCAATCATTTGCATCAATAAGTCACCAAGCAACCTATTTCAATAGAAATAGATGTACTTCCATTTATTGCAAACACTATCTACACACAAAAGTTTTACAAAAAATTTAATTCATATTCTTTTTTGCTTAACATATATTCATAACTTGAACGTAGAGCCTTATGTAACCTACCTCTCAACTCGATCTACATATACTATATTAACTATGCCTCTAATCCTTTTAGTAGATATGAAATTACTTCCAAGGGTTTGTTATCAACAATAATATTATCTCCAATTTTGAATTAAAGTCTTTATGTCCTACCCAGCTTATATGGGTCTATAATTTGACTATTGCAATTAATTTGTCGCTGGCCTTGGCCCTAAAGATTTTTGTTTGCCCTCTTAACTCAGCTATAGGGACTATATCAAGAGGTCCAAAGTGTCGATAAATTAGATTTGTAAACTCAAAATAAGAAAATCGACGTAGGGGGCATAAGAGGCTAATATGTGTTATTGTTAAAAAGTCTCATGACAATTCTTTCAAATATAGGTTTCAAGTCGACTGTTAAAGATATGAAAATATTTCTTTATTTTGTAATATATATACTAAGTGTCTATTTGACAGAATTTATGAAAAGTCAAAATCTGTTTGTAAAATTGTTTAAATGATTTTTTAGAAGTATTTTGTCTAACTAGAAGAGCTTTTAAAATAGTATAGTCTAAAATAACTTTTTCAAGAAGCTCTTCTACAAAAAATAGAAGTAAAAACAAAAATCTTGATAAATAAGTCTTGAAAAAATTCTTACTCACTATGTATATATTAATGTATACAAAAATTTCAATTTGTTATGGTATCTTTGAAACACGCATTCTTCTATATAAAATTTTGAAAAATGCTAATGGTACATAATTTTCTTTACATAAGAGTGTCGACCCTCTCACATGAGGGTGGACCCCATATGAATAAAATATTCAAGTGGGGTTCCCCATGTGAGAGGGAGGATACCTTTATGAACATATAATTATGTACCAGTAGTATCTCTCTAAAATTTTAGAATGACTTGTTCCTCGTTTTTTATTTTTCAGTTTCATATAATTCAATATTCCTTGATACATTTATTGCTACAAGACATTTCCTAAGATGTTCCCAAAGTGTAATAATTTTGCAGTCTTAACTCTGAAAACTTAAAAAAATATCTCTAAAGTAGAAAAAAAGAGACGAAACAAATTATCTAGCCGGCCATATACTTATAATAGCGTTCACAAAACGACTCATATTATTTTGTTATCAAAGACGTTTCGAAAATTCAAAATTATTTTTTTGTTAAACTTGCAAGCATAATTTTTATATAGTATGTTTTGGAAAGACCAAAATGCCCCTCCCAATAAATTCAAAAGACCCATGAAGTCTAATTGTATTTCTTTTCCAACAATTAAAATTCGGTCAAGAACGAATTCACTTTTACAATAAAAAATTCACAAGTTGATGGAAAATTTTCGTTATTTGCTTTCATAATGGGTATGCCACAATAGATTATAAAAATCGAACGGATCTCACGTCCTCAGTAAAGAAAATGGTTTCTTTCCAAAAATAAAAAATAAATAAATAAAAATAAAATGCAAGACAGATACGAGTTAAATTTGATCCAAGATTGTTAAGAGGGGCGCCATTGGCCCAGGATAAAGGAATAAGATTTTAAAGTAAATCTTTAATTTCACTCTAATTTAGTCACTACTTTATATAAAAATGATAACCATTCGATAAATTGAAATTCCACTAATATCATGATGCTCCAAAGAGGTGATATATTAGTGTATGACTTTATAGCTTAAAGTTTTCATCAATCGACAAATTATCTTATGTGATTGACATACTCTTCTATCTTCATTTCAGAATTTTTGACAAATGACACATAGTTAAATTGAGCACCTTCTTTAAAAAAAGATTGAACCCCAACTTTGAGGGTTTCCACCACTCCTCCCCACCCATAGAGCTTTGTGAAAGAGGTAAATCGCTGGTTGTGCCCCAGCAGATTAGGGAACAAGAGCTGTCTGTACTCTACGCCTACAAGGAGTCCAATTCTATGTCTCAGAAATCGAACCCCCACACTGCGACTGCCAGCAAGGCGTGAGATAACATCATTTCTGTCCTTTCCAAATTGAGCACCTTCTTTTATCCGTCTTGACGATGTTTAAAGCATAGAGAATTTTGTTATAATACTTTGTCGATCTCATCTTTCTTAGCTTGGAGCTTTGCCTCTCGAGTTTGGCATGCTCGTGAATTCAGATAAAAAAAATTCTAATTTAGGGAAAAAAAAAGGTGCACGACAAGTTTTTACGAGGGAACCTGAGGTTATCTGGTGGAGAGCTATTTGGAGAGTTAGTTCATTTCAGAAACATAACATTTATGAAGAGGTCTTAAAATTGTAAATATAAAAATTAATACCAACAAAAGTTTATTTTAGAAGTAATCAATTCTCAGTGACTCACAAGCTACCTACTCCCGCATCTAATCTATTTCGTCTGGCCCAAATTCTTATTACCGTGTCATCCTCTAATCCCCCAATTTAGCCTAACAATCAAACATCTAAAATTCTAAACCAAGCTTGCATCAAACATCAAAGAACTCGAATTCTTAGCTAAACAATATGGACATTAACAACGTTAATTTCCATGAAACCAAATTCACAGACCAAAACGGTATACCACAAACCACAAGAATACCCGTGGTACAGGATTTAGCCGGCCTCAAAAACCTTCCCCAAAGATTCATCCAACTTTCTTCAATATCCAAATCTTTTAGTCACGATATTCCAGCCATAGATATAGAAAAACTCGGCGGCGATCCCGAGTCGGGGGCGGCCAGAGTGGAGGAGCTAGAGAAGTTGGTCACTGCAGCTAAAGAATGGGGAGTGTTTTTTATCAAAAACCATGGTATAGATTCTTGTATATTGAATGATGTTAAGAATGTTGTGAAAGGTTTTTTTGAGTTGTCTTTTGAAGAGAAGAAAGCGAGTGTTGGATCATATAAAAGTGTTGATAATATGGGCTATGGGAGGAATTTTGTGAAATCGGAAAATCAGCCACTGGATTGGATTGATCGGTTGACTATGAAGGCTGCTCCAAGAGATGCCACTCAAGGACTCAATGTTTGGCCTCAAAATCCACCCAACTTTAGGTAATTTTTCACCTAACTAGATTTATAGTTAAAAATTTCTCAAGTTTCATATTTCAAAATTTACATTACACGCTCCTTTCATGTGTTAGAAAGTGTCTAGCCAGTAGCCCATGTTTGCTTCAGCTAAAAGTTTATTAAAATTTAAGTGAAAATCAATAATTAATTTTAATTACACATTTCATAACATCCACAACTTTTTAATCACACATTTTATTAAAATTTATTTAAAATATGATTTTTATTTAAATTAACAGGGGCTTAGTATCTCCAAAAGTTGTAGTCTTTAGTCATATCAACATGAACACTAACACATCACTATGAAAGAAGTGTCCGTGCTATTTAGTATTATTAGTGTTTAACACAATTTAGATAACGGCGTTTGTGACAATAGATTATAAATTATTCAAATACAATGATTTATAGCCTATTTAATACTACGTATGATATGCTGACACCCAAATGTTCAGTATGAATAGTACTAGATAGCATTAATAGATAAGATATTGAAGGGGATGAAATCCGAGCCTAATTCTTCCCTTCTAATTAAATAGTTGAGTAATGTTATTTATTTAGACAGTTGATGACTAGAATTTTTTCAATTATCATTGACATGACAGGAAAGTCATAGAGAAGTATGTGGATGCTGCTAGAGAACTCTTAAATGGGCTTCTCCAAGCCCTTGCTGAGGCCTTATCACTTGATAAATACACATTCCTCCAATACTTTGATGAAGAAAAAAGTGAAATCAATGTTAGAGTAAACTACTACCCACCAAGCCCAAGGCCTGACCTAACAGTGGACATAACCCCACATTCTGATGCAAGTGCCCTAACTCTCTTACTCCAATTTAATTCCTATAATGGGCTCCAAGTATTTAAGGGCAGTGAATGGATTACAGTGAAATGGCCCAATGAGGGATTGCTTGTGAATATTGGGGATTTCATAGAAATAATGAGCAATGGTAGGGTAAGGAGCCCTTGGCATAGGGTAGTGAACCAAATGGATTTGGACAGATTTTCTGTGGCGTTATTTTATAACCCACCTCCCGAAAAGGAGATTGTGCCTGTGGAGGAGAATGAGGGATACAAGAAAGTGAATGTGGGTGCATATTTGAAGCACTATTATGCAATTAGTCCTACTTCAAGTAAAGAAGTCATATTGTTTGCTAAAGAGTAGTTTTAAATTGTTTATATTATTTTTGTGGGGTGGGATGGGGGTGCAGTGGGGTGGAAGAAGCAATTTCTCTTATTTAGACTTGTTGTTTTGAGTGATGTTTAGATTAGATGTCGTCGAACAATAATATGTGAGTTGACAAGAACTCGTCGAATTATGAACGGCCACATATGATGTAGATATAGAATTTGTTTATTCTTGTGTTGTTCAAATTTTATACCTTGGTGTCGGTGAAATTTTATAATGACTTATCTATGGAAAAAAAAAAAAAAAAAAGGTTGAACCCCAACCTTAGGGGCCCCCACCGACCCTGCCCTGGGCCATTGTGGAGGAGGTAAATCGCAGGATGTGCCTCCCAGGAGCCAGGATGGAGAGCACATGGATAGGCCAAGGCTATTAACCCATATGGTAACTCCCACTTGCAACAAAGTCAATTCCACCTTGCGGGGAATCGAACTCTGCACACTGCCGCGCTGAGCCCTATCCGCCCTCCCCTTTGCCACTGGGAGATATGCCCTGGGGGCTGACTTATCTATGGATCTCGTATTTCAAGTGGATTCTTAAAGTATTTTCTCATGCATTTCATCACTAAAATTAACTGATGCTATGTCATTGATCTTTAAAGTATTTTTTCACTTTAGTCATAAAGGTTAATTTTAAAAAAAAAAGTTACGATGTTGATTACTCTATTTTAAAAAAAAAAAAAAAAAAATCAATGTTCAATTTGGCGTGACTCACATTAAATGTTGACGTGTACAAATTGATAGATATGGTTACCACATAGAACACGTGCTATATCCCAAATGAAATCTATCCATTAAGGAAATATAAGACACTCTAGTAAGTTTTAGTGAATTCCAATAAACATTAGTCAGTCCAATCATTAATTTGAGGAAATCTACGGTTAGAAATAAGACTTTACTTGCAGTTACATTAAACCCCTGTTTGAGCCACATTATTGTAAAAATGAGAATGAAAAATATATTCGTTATGGACCCCATACAAAAAATAAAAAGTCAATTATGGTAGTTTGACGTGATGGATAACGATCATATTTTTTATTTTAATGAGGAAATAATGAGGCTCAAACAGAGCCTAAATGAATAACAGCAATTGTTTGAATATTGTTTACAATCCATATATTTAGAAAGTGATTATATGAATCAAGTGTGGTCCAAAATACTATAGTGACTAAATGAGTAAAAAAACTAATTGAAGTACTAATTTGAAAATCTTTACAAATTATTTTAGTGACTTTATATGTGAAAGTAACTCCAATAAATTAAATAATTTGGATGAACACGATAGTAGAACAACAAGATTAATCCAACGATTTGAGTTTTGTTAGTTTTCGTTAATAACTTTTAAGTTTCAAATTGGAATACTATTCATCATGAAACTTTACCTTGAAATTATCTTAACATAACGTGAAAAAAGTTGTGCAGATGTCTCAGTCTCATATCAATTTATTCTTCTAATTGAACGGAGTTGATTTGTTATTTTCTCCCGTAAAGAAAGTACTAATAAGAGGTGAAAACATAAACTTGTAGTGAAATTTGTTATTGCTAGAAGAAGTAATACTAAAATAAATGTGCTTGTATCAAATAAGGATTAATTTCATCCAAGGTATCAACTTGTGGCGAAATTTCTTTAAGTCTCCAACCTTTAATTTATCTTAAAATTGTCACTTAACTTCAATTTTATTGCAACATAGACTTCCATTAGTAAAACTAATAGAGAATTCTTATGCCAGTTTTAAATTAATAAAATGTTAAAATGGCATATCGTTTTAATAAAATAGACACACAACATTTCAATAATGTTAAGTGCAATGGAAGATAATTTTTTTGGGTTAGTTTTACAAAGATCATCTTCGATGTATTATATGAATTCTTATTTATGTGACCTACAAGTTGAAAGACTTTCGAGTTTCGATTTAGAGAATGTCAATGAGTGGACACTTGTGTCCAAAACTAGTCTTCAATTAGTGAGATCAACAAAACAGTAAAGGGACTATCGATTTGTTGTTTCCAAATTGTTATTAATTTTCAATTTTGTAAAACATTCAAAACTTGTTTGGTTTTATATTTTTGAAAATACTTATTTTTTTTTTTTTAAAACAAGATTAAATTTATAACATAAAACTAAATATGTATTTTTAACATTTGAAAACACTCAAAATACAGGGAAAATAAAAGCAATCCAACTTCCATTTCCTTGATTCCAGAGATGATGCAAATTTATGAAGACTCTGATGAGACTCTCGTGGAACTCTACATAAAGAAATTTGTTTGCAAATCACGATCAACCCTCAACTTTCCATCTTATTTCAATTGGTCCATGCTTCATGATATTTGTTCGATTTTAGTTTTTTTTTTTTTTCTTAATCTTCAATATTGATATCGAAATTTTCAAAAGTTTTAATGTTGGTCCCCGAACCTCCAATAATCTCTCAAAATTGGTCCTTGCAAGTTTCAAAAATGTACAATTTAGTCCACAAACTTTGGATAAATTGAATTTCACTTTTGAAATTGTCACTTTCCTCCAATTGCTTCATTAATGCTTCTTATTAATCCCACGAGTTAGCTTTCAATTGCTCCAATTCAAATTCAGTTAGGCTAAAAAATTGTCGTTTTTGTTCCTAATGCCCAAGTCCGGGTTTTACCTAACCTATAATAATAGTACTTACATTAAATTAAGTATGAATTTACTCAAATTTGCAAATATAATTCAATTTCATTATGCTCATCCAAATCGACCTCAAAAAAGCGATTGGAAAGTGAAGCTCTTCATTCCAATCCAAGCTGAAACACAAATAAGCATGTAAAATATAAAGAGAGAATAATCCAAATGATTATTGAACTTTGCAAAAGGTTTTTGCGGGGTTACTATATTTTAAAAATTACCAAAGTCATCACTAAACTTTGCAAAAAGGTTTCAATCGGCTAATTGAACTTTAAAAATCATCTTATTTTCACTAAACTTTACAAAATATTTTTCGGGGTCACTAATTCAGTGATCTCCTAGGAAACATTTTGCAAAGTTTAGTAATCACATGAAAGTTTTTGTAAAGTTTAGTGATGGATGCGGTAATTTTTAAAGTTCAGCGACCTCGTGAAAACCTTTTGCAAAATTTAGTGATGATTTGGATAATTTTTAAAGTTCAGTGATTCCTTGAATAATTTTTTTTAAAGTTCAGTGACCATTTGGATTATTATCTCAAAATAATAAATATCACTTCCACAACATTAAATAAAGAAAGGCAGCTAGAAGATTTTATTTATTATTTTTTTTTTATGACGGGGGAACCCGCAGTCGCTACCCTTCAGATGTGCACAGGGTAAACTTTCGGATTGACGCAATAACCTGCAAACCACGCCAACCAAGTAAACTGCACTAGGCAAGCTCGATGCGATAGACTCGATCGAGAGAGTGTTGGTAGGGAGAATCAAAAATATTGTTTAGCAGGGAAGTCCATATGCTTTTGGAAAATGATGATGATGAAGAAGTTACAAATACTCATCAATGTGATAATATGACACCCAACAAACACCAACGTAAGAAAGCCAAAATCAATAAAGCTGAAAAGCTTGAGACTTGTATGACGCAATGGTCATCTACAATTTGTATAAGGAACGATGAATTTGAATTTAGGAGTTATTCTTGAAAGAAAAGCTTGCACACATCCATGAAAAATCATCTATCAATCAGGCGATAGTGAAATCAATCATTCGAATTAAACCAATCTATTCAAATATGATGTGTCAAACATCTTAAACAACATGAAAAGTGGTGTCTAATAAGGTTTGTTTCATATTTTCGCATGTCAAATTATTATTTATTTACATTTTATTAGGTCTCTTTCGATTTGCGTTTCAATTTGAGATTTGAATTCATTTTTAATTTTCTACTTTTGAGGGTCTATTTTAAGATTGTAGAAAAATTCTTTGGTTTGTTATTCTGCAAAATTGCTTCTAAAAAACAAAAAACTGGAAAATGTCTTCTTCTTTTTTTTTTTTTTTGGAAAAAAAAAACGAAAGACAAAATCAATCTAAGTTTGCATATATAATAGAAATTTTGCATGATATGCTAGTATGTAAAACAAAGTTTCTACATCTAAGTAATCTAAACAATATGTAGTTTTTATTTTGTCACATCAACTTAATAAAATTTTTATCAGCTTGCAAACGAAAAGAATTTTTTAAACAGGATTCATTTTCTTTATATGACAATTTTTAAAACTATCCACAATTGTATTCTAAATGCTCTTACCTAACCATCAAAAAATACCTCATAAAAAGGTGTCCCTATTTCTTTGGATGAATCCCCTCTAAAAACAGCAAACCCACCCCCCTCAACCTTCTGCACCCCCACGCATTCGCCCATAAAACTATAAGGTTCCGTTAATCAAAAAAAAAAAAAAATTCTCAAAAAAAGGGCAAAAACGATGAGTTACTATCAGAATCAACCCCCTGCAGATGGTCCACCTCCTAAAGGCATGGCAACGATCGAATTCTTCTCCTTATTGTACATTTTCTATTTCTTGTTTTGATCTTGTATGAATTTTGGATTTTGATTATTTTATGATAAGCAGGTAATCCGCCGGAAGCAGGAGGGTATCCACCCCCTGGCTACCCTCCACAGGGGTACCCTCCGCCGGGATACCCTCCACCAGGCTACCCTCCACCTGGCTACCCACCTCCGGGATACCCTCCACAATACGCACCTCAATACGCTCCCCCACCACCTCCTCAACAACAACATCAACACCAATCCAGTAGCGGCGGTTGCATGGAAGGCTGGTATGCACCCTATCTACCAAATCTCGTTTTTGCTTCTGTCTATATGCTTGCATTGCATGTTTATTGTACGTATGCATGCATCCTTCTGTGGTTTAGATATGAGAGATCTGGGATTAATTTTATGGGTTTCCTCGTTTCTTCCTCCGCCAACAAGCGCGGAGGAGGAGATCTTTTTCTTATTTCGCGCAATGCCCCTCGTAACCACGGAGGTTATGAGGATATTTTTTACTTCCAGTGTAGGCTGACTGGCTGAGAATTGGTTGGGGTTTGTGCTGTTAATAATCTTGAAATAATGGATATTTGCGCAGAAAAATATTGTCCATTTTTGGCTGTCGAATAAGTTTTTCTTCAAATTATGTATTAATTTATGATTTATCCTAGATACTATACTAAAAATTTGAATTGGTGCCTACGATTTTCCATCCAGATTTTGTACTCATCACCAATTAAAACAATATGGCAAATTATTTAATTTCATGTTTGATATGCAGAACTGCACAAAACTCGCGCGGTACAATAAAAAAGAATTTATCTTACAAGTTATAATAGGTCATATGTCAATATAGAGTTACTTATTTACTTGTTCTTCTTATTATGAGGTTGGAATTATTTTCATCTGTAAACATCATTAAATTGAGTGTTGCTGTTAATTTCTGCAGCTTGGCTGCTCTATGCTGCTGCTGTCTCCTTGACGCATGCTTCTGATGATGGAAATTCTGGTTAAGTAAATGCAAGGGATAAAAAGTACTGATTCTCTCCTCTCCAATTTTTGGATCTTTGTGAGGATCACTATCTTCTTATCCGTCTTTTGTCTTAAAAAATAATGAGATCTTGGCTTCGGTTTGTACATATAGCTAATGGACTTTTTCAATGAGAATACGTTGATTTCGGTCTACATATGTAATTTCTGATACATTCCGGTTGGTTATTTTAAGTATATATAT